CAATGGATCTATCGGCCGGCATCTTAGTAAAGAAAATGTACTTTTTAGGCATGATTGGGATCTGCATGTCCCTTTCTATGAAAAACAACCGGTTTATCCGGTATACGTAACTTCTCTACACATTGTCATTGACACTGATTATATATATATATATATATATTTCAGTCTTAAATATTTATTTATTGGTTGTGGTATCTGATTGTCTAGGTCAATGTCTGTGGATGTGTGTACATGTATTTATCGGTGTCTATGTGTATGGAAAGTGCATTCACTTTTAATTGTGTATGTATGTAGGTGTTGGTTTTCCCCCTCTTTTTTTCATAAAGGGCCGTGGAGATGTTCCCCATTCGTCACTATTTTGTGTGTATATATATCTAAATACGTCTGGGTGCTTATGTATTATAATCTGATTGTGTTTGTGTTGTTTTACGCGTGAGTTTAGGACCCCATTTACACACTTGGGATTAAAATGTATACATATATATTGTCGGATGACCGGATGAAGTAGCGTCTGTTCTAACGTAATTTCAACTAAGAAATAAATTGAATAACATATGTATTTCTTCTTTTCTCCTCTGTAATTTTATAATTTTTAAAATTATTAGTGTTTAAATTTGGATTTTAAAATTGGCAGTTTTTAATTTTAATATCAAATTTTATCATAGAATTTAGTAATTGTTGGTTAGAATAAATTCTTTTTTAATATTACTCGTATTTTAAAGATTTGAATAGCTCCGTTGTCAAGGTTTTTGAATTTTCCTATACTTGTATTTTGATTGGTCATTCTAGCTTTCGTAACAGCGTTTTCCCTTGCGAAGGATCGTTTGAAACTTTTAAAACCATTTAGTTTGTATTCAACATCTTCACTTGATAAGACACCAGGGGTGTTAAAACAAAATGTCTATTTTTGTAGTGATTTTATAACATAATTATGTTATAAATTTAAAAAAAAAAAAAAATTATATATATATATATATATATATGGTGGGGGAAAAAAACAGGATTTGAAACAACTTGGCATCCGACGAAAAAAATTGGAAAAAAAAGTAAGAACCAGAAATCTCCGAACAGGGCGAAAAAAATCGTCCAGTATCTTAAATTTCTGGCACAAAAAATAACAAAAATAACAGCGAGAAATAAATTAAAACAAAGACTGCTCAATACGCGGAATAGAGCAAAGGTAAAATATATCCTAATGTGCCAGGTTTCACCACATGGTATCATCGGGATTCATCCTGGGTAGGTAGTACCTGGATTATTAAATTTTATATATATGTGTCCATATATATATATATATATATATATATATATATATATATATACACACACACACATACACACACACACACACACACACACACATATATATATATATATATATATATATATATATATGTATGTATATATATATATATATATATGGACACACATGCAAGTTTTATTCAAAATGATTGACATGCTACTGTGGTTAAATTTTATCATGACGTAAATTCTATATTATGAATGTATGTATTCACATTAATCACTCTGATCATAACTAAATTAGGTCTTATTAAAATACATCCGAAACATACTAGATAATAATGCAAATATAATAGCATCATTCCCATGTAAAAAAGACTAAAATTAATTGAAGCATTATTGATAAAAGAAAAAGCCAAGGTTCAATAATACCAACTATGAACACGGTCAAAATGTGATGACCGTGTTTGGAAAATCAAACATTCCTATAACCTTAGATACATACATAAAATAATCCGTACATTCAATGGAAAATAAAAATGAAATAGATAATGGCTAAAAGTATTGCTGAAAGTGTTCGGATATATAACATATTTGGAATTTCTATATAATTTGCTCCCAGAAAATAAAACATTATTATAACACATGAAAAATTAAATAAAAGCTTAACCATAGTTCCTTGTCAATCGTTTTTAATGAAAATTGCATAAAAGAGGAATTGCTACCTAAATACACAATTACATATATATATATATATATATATATATAAACCGAATTCATAAATGATTACATCGGTCACACTACTACATGCCTATCCAGACGTCTTACGTTACACCTATCTGACCATAGCTCTAAGAAAACGCATTTAAACACACACACACAAACTTACCAGACTCCATCCAAAACATACTACAAACTACAAACTACAAACTTATTAACCTCGTCTAGATGTAAAAAAAAGATCAAGAATGACGGAAGCCTTAATAATAGAAAGAAAAACCAACATTTAATAATATTAACTACGAACACGGCCAAAAAGGGCTGACTGTGTTCGGAAAATAAAACATCCCTATAATTCTAGAAATATACACATAACTCATCCATCTAGTTAAAAAATAACAATAAAATCATCTTTATAATGTTTAAAGAATAGCCGAAAGCGTTCGGAATTACAGAACATTTAGGCAGTTTCTACACACTCTGTGTCTAGAAAAGATAACACTTGTTCGAACACAAAAAAATAAATAAAAGCTTATTCTCAGTACCTTGTCTGTCGTCTTTATTGAAACATATATAAATGAGAGATTGTTACCTAAATACACAATATATATATATATATATATATATATATATATATATATATATATATATATATATATATACCCGTGTGTGGATGTGTTTATCTAATAATTCATGATCATGAATTGCGCCGAAATATATTCTTACTTTAAATTGATATCCATCTTGAATTCTATATTTTAATTCAAATTTCTAATTTGTAATGAGAGTTTAAAAATCCAATCAACCAAAAGTGATGACAAGGTTAAGCTATGAATAGGTCAAGTCTGATATCTAAAATTTCTCGAAACGAAATGTCTTTTTCTTAAATTAGAAAATATGTTTTACTGGGGCGTATTTGAAATCAGATTGGCAAGAAAAATGAAATTAATTTTATAAAATCGTTAATCTAATCATCGTATTGATTAAATTGTATTAATTATTTTACGTTCAACAAAATAAAAATGGTAATTTCCTCAGAGAAAATACTGCGTGTATCTTTGCCTGATATCAAATTATGTAATAGTTTTAATCTCTGCCCGCAAATGAATTCTTCTTGAGGTGCTTTTATCGAACATATGAAACCCATATTCGAGGCACCATGTGTCTGCGTTGTCAAGTGAGAAGTAAATTATTTTGTCCAGGCATTGAAATTCGTCGTTTTAATGAAACTGAACAGTAAAATGTGAAGACATCAAAGCAGCTACCTCTTTCCAGAAGTAAGAAAAAGGAAATTAAAAAAAATAATAATTAAAATATTTTCGGGATCAAGTGTCACGAGGCCAGAAGTTAAGGAATTCCGGTCATGGATATGTATAGTCATGCAGCACTCTTAGATTAATCAGGACAAAAGCCTGATAAAAGCCTACGAGGCAGATAAGGAATTAGAAAAATATTCTCCTGTGCACTAAATAAAGGGTTCGTTTCGAAATTCCAACGTATATCGCCTGAAGAAGGCTAGACACTCTGAACGGTTTAAAGTGTAAATATTGAAATACTAATAAGCGTGCTGTACCAAATAAGCAGAGAAGGGAGAAATTGGAAGAAATAATTTGAGCCGCCACATATTTGCGTATATATCAACCCACTTTTTTGCCGTGAGATTCACCTTGTAAATAGGTCACTCGCGGGAGAGGGTTATAGTAATATGCAACTTATGCTGATAGGAGGCGAAGATATCTATTAACCCTAGACTTGAAATGTAGTGATCGGGGAGACATCCTTTGGGAGACGGTTCCGTTAAGAAATCGTTCGCAGGAAGAAGCTGTTCGAGTGGAATTTATTTCTCAACAATATGAACGGTTTAGTACCAAGTACAAAATAATACAAGACATTCGTAAAAAGGTTTGTTTCAAAGCCTTTGTCCTTTTAACTGAAGTTAATTTGACTTGTTTTGTTGGCTTGAACTAATTTCATACCAGGTTATAAACGAATATTTTTTGTTTATCAAAGGAACAATCAAAATATATCCTATTTTACAAGGTAAAATGTTTATGTTTGCTTTTTTAAGCCCTTCAATACTTGAAAAATCATTTTCTTCTTCCGTTAAGTAAAAAGAACCTCAAGGTTTCTTTATTTAAATAAAGAAATCATAAAAAAATTTGGTGATTGTGTTTGCCGAAGGTAATTTGGTGAGGAAAAGAATGGACACAGATAAAGTATTGGTTGTGTCTTCAGGCAGTAAAATGTCAATTAAATAAATTAACAAGGAAACAGGAAAATGGTTTTTATTCAAGGCTTCCGCTATTTTTAACATAAATCAACGATAGTTCTTTGCTTACTATTTTCGCTTTTCTCCCTGTAATTTTTTATTCCATTGTCTGTGTTTATTTTGTGTTTCTTTTTTCCTTTCTATGTCTTCAGTCTAAATTTGTTTTACATAAACTTCTGTTTTTACTTTTCCTATATTTTTTTCTACCACATTCATGTTTCTATCAATGGGTATTTTTTCGGTTTTAAATATATTCTTTTTATTGTGCAGAATTTCTACTTCGCCGATTCGTTAATTATTCTTGTATTTACATCAGCACGTAGTGAACTTAACTTGAACAAGAAATTGGGGTGATTGTTCTGCGTCGAAATGCACAATGGCTGCGGTTAACAAATAATATAATGCGATATAAAGCTTACATAAAGGGATATATATAAGCTAACTTTTAATGGTCGTTATCTATGCGTTGCTTAGATGTGGCACAAGGCCGGAAGTATGGGACACTCAATAAAGAACGAAATCACTATACAGTTGCAAGTTATCTCGCGAGACAAGCTTGTTAACCATTACACCATGTGAGGCTAAATTGGAATGATTGATTTTCGCTTAGTTTTCCAGCAGGGAAAGAAGATGAAATTTGGATGACTGTATTGCGTCAGTTTCCCATGAGGAGTTTTAGAACCAGACGAAGTTAGGATAATTATATTACACCAATATATTTAATGTCTGGCGCTCACAATATCGCAAGCTTAAAGCCACATCACTTTGAAACACCGTGACGATCACCAAAGTTAAGCAACGTCGAGCCTTGTTAGTACTTTGGTGAGTGACCGCTTGGAAATACCAGGTACTGTAAGTTTGGAGGTGTGGGCGGTGTAGTGGATAATGTCTCGTAATTGAAAATTGGAGAATCGAGTTTTAAATCCAGTTGGGTTTGTTATATTCATTTACGCGCAATACTCTCTTCTCTCCCCAGTTATGGGTTAATTAGTAAGACATTTAACACTACAAACATTATAAGTTCCAAAAAATAAATACTGTATTTAACGGCATATAAGAAGTACAGGTGTATAAAACGCACCCCAATTTCAACAGGGAAAATCAAGAAAAATTTAGTAATTAGTAAAATTATTAGTAAATGGTTATATGTATGACGTATTAATTTTGGTTAAACATGCCATGATTACAATTAAGCGAAAGGTAATATTAAAAAACGAACACGAATCTATAAAAACCAAAGGTAAGAAAACAAAATAAAAATCAAGCAATTATTACAATTGAGCAAAACAAAACAGTTATCTTTAAAATTTTATTCATCTTCAATGCATAAAATTCATCGTCTTCGTTATCAAAACTCTGATACTCATTTTCAATACTGCTATCATCGTCTTTAAATAATACGTCATCTTCCGTTTCATTGAGAGCATTGCTAATGCCACACTTTTTAAAAGATTTCACAACAATTTCTAGTCTAATATTATCCCAAGCTTACTTCACGCATTCGCAGACTTGTGCAATGTTGGGTCTTTTTATTCTTCCTGTAAGTGTAAGGTCGTAATCAGGCATAGATCAACCGAAAAAAAAAAACAACAATATCGCAATTCATCTTTATTTAAGATGCTTAATACAGCTTAAGCCTAAATATAATAAAATAGAATGTCTCAAATTTCTCACAGGGGATGGCCATCTAACTATGCAAGTAACCTATATTTACTAAACAAAATAATTGGAGAGACAAATAAAAGGATGATTGGATTCCAAGGACGTAGTGCCTGCTTTGAAAATTATCGATTCATATCCCTTGACCGAACCTAGGTGGTGAATGGATATATAGACGATCGTGACATTCCACTGGTTCTTTTATCATTATCACTGAATTTTCGGCATGTCTTAGGGAAGATAGTGAAGTGATGTCCACATTGCCCTCTCCTAGACAGAGAGCTCTTCATAATCTACTATTTAAAATATAGGTGGTAAGAGAAGAGGGTAGATTTTCACTCTTCACATATAACCTGACTAAGTCGGATTTCAGCTCATCACATCGATTTCACTTTTTACATTGGAAGACGAAATCGTAATTTTCGTTCCTTGTTTTGTCATTCGTTTGTTCCTGTTCTCTTTTACATTTCTTGTGTTTTTCTTCCTTTCTACCTTTTTTATTTATATTCTTGTCCATAATAATTTTTTTATTCCCTGATTTTTACGGTTTGCTTCTTTTTCACTTTCCCTTTTTGTCACTTTTCAATTTGATGCTTTTTCGCATTTATATCTTCGTTTTTATTCAGATCTTCTTTGACTTTTTGGTTTCATTTATTTTTTCTTAAAGGATTCTTTTTTTATTATTCTATTTCTGAGTCTGTCTATATTTCTGGGATGAGGTATTATGTACATTATTTACATTAGTCGAACTATTGTCCTCATCTTTGTCGCCATATTTATCACGCTCCATCTACTTCAGGTGGTTGGAATGTCGAACTGAACCCTTTATTTCGCTCACTGAACCCTTTATTTCGCTCATTCTGTTTCTATCTCTCCTTTTCTTCTTGCCTTTTTATTATTACATTATTAGACTGCCATGTTTGATGGATGTCAGTTATCAGTTATCTCCCGCTAATTTCCCTCCCTCTGAAAGTTCTCCACTGCCTTAACCGGGTATTGAACTCCCACTCTTTGGGTCCTGTCACTGGATTTAACCAACGCCTTTATCCATTGTGCCATGTGTCCTTGAGGAGATCTGGTTATGAATTTCAGGGTATTATAAACCTAATGTCTTCAGCAACCATTTTTACCAGTGCTCATATTGCAATTTTGCTGTTTATCATTCCATGTTTTTACCAGAACTCATATTGCAACTTTGTTATCATTGCTTTTCTCTAGCACTCCTTCTTACTAGTTCCCATATTGTATTTATTTCTATGCTTGGTCGGCTCAGAAGATTTTTGTGGCCTAGCATATGTGCTGATTCCTTAAGTTTACGAATTTTCCAATGGTGTTCCTTGTCTATGATCTCAACATGATCCCACAGAGGGCGGTGATACTATTCCCAGTGAGCGAAATAAAGGGTTCAATTCGAAATTCCAACCACCTGAAGAAGGCCGGAGCGGACAACAGCCGAAACGTTGTGATAAATATGGCGACAAAGATGAGGACAATAGTCCGAATAATGTATTCTATTTCTATCTTTTCTTTTTCTTCTTGCCTTTTTATTATTACATTATTTTTTCTTTTTTTTTTCTTTTTCTTTGTCATATTACTTCCTTTCTTTCCTGTTTTTTTCGCCTTCCTTACTATTGTTCCATTGTTTCTTTATTCTTTCTTTTGTTTTTTTTCACTTCCGCCCTTTTTTCTTCATAAGTTTCTACTTTCCTTCCTGTTATACCGGAACATACCTATTCTATTGTTAATAGACTCTCCCACATAAAATAAGTAGCAGTCGCCAGGGAGCTGAGTGAGCTGGTGAGTCAGTCGATGCCGGACATTAAAGTATCAACCACCATCATTAACTATTATTTCAAGTTCCTAACGTTTTGTACGCCGAACCTTTTTTAGGACCGACTTAGTGAAATACAAGCCTCCACTGTGAAACTACTCTACAACACATTGGCGACGAGGAATTCGTTCTCATAAGGAGGAAGAAAAATTTTTCGTTCACTCTATAACACTTCCTCACATTATTCTTTTTATTTTCATATTTACATTAGTTTTTCACTTTTTTACAGGCCTTTTCTTTCTTTCTTTCTTTCTTTCTTTCTTTCTTTCTTTCTTTCTTTCTTTTGCTGCCGTTCTTCTTTCATTCCGCCATTAATATTAATCCTTTGTTTGTTTCTTTCTTTTCTCACTTTCTTTCGCATTCTTTCTATTTTCATTCCACATTTATTTCCATTTCATTTCTCTATTCATTCATACTTTTTCATGTTTTTTTTATTTTTCTTTCTTTTTTATTTTCTTTTTTACTCTCTTTGTTTTTTTTTTTCTTTCTTTCTTCCTGGCTTGGGTATTTGCTTGCTTACTATAGTGATTTCGTTCTTTCTTTTTTCATTCCTTCTTTTTTATTCTTTCTTTTTTCATTCTTTCTTTATTCATTCTCTCTCTTTTACTTTCTTGCTTGGTTATTTGCTTGCTTACTATACTGATTTCTTTCTTTCTCTTCTCCTTTTATTTATTTGTTATGCTTACGCCCCCTCCTTCTATTTTGTCCTGACGTTCTAAGAAACTTCCTTCTTCAATTTAATTAACTGAACATGATTGACCTTATCTTTAACTCAATAAAACGAAAACAAAATTCATTTTAGAGACGAGTCTTTAAGCATTGTCCTTTTGTAACGAGGTACTTCAGACAGGAACGGGTAAAGAAAGACACTACCAAAGGCAAGATGGACAAAAATTATTTACGTTACCGGAGTAAAGTACAGCAGTTTTATTTGCAATGGTCTAAATGTCTAAACGTGGATTATCGAAAAAAAAGAAAACATACATTTTATTAAGACTTTAAAAACGGAATTTTTAAATGTTTATATTACTATATACATGCATATATAGATATAAAAGTGAACATTGAAGTCAACACTTAGAGGCGACAAACTGTTTCCTGCTAAACGTAATCACCAGGCTTGAGGATATTTACATACAATCTATTTCTGATATTGAGCACTTTATCTCATAAATATAGCATACCTTAAAACTATATTTCTTCATACATACATATATATAAAGTCAAAAAGAAAACTTATTTTAGATGACGCGTTTCGTTCTCTGATGGATTTTCAAGGCAAATGTAAGGATTTATTTTGCAACAAATATTTATAAACAAATTAAAAACGTTTTTCAAAAGTTTTAAATTTAAGAGATGCTAATAAATATTCAGCAGCTTAACTGAAAAGTCTAGGGAAATTATGGAGGCTGACGTAATTTAATCTAAATTATGGAGGATGACGTAATTTAATCTAAATTATGGAAGATGACGTAATTTAATCTAAATTATGGAAGATGACGTAATTTAGTGTAGGCCTCGACCGCGTTGATGGAAAGTGGCCGGATGGCATTACCATTTTCTCTCTTAAAATGGGGAAGTCGTTGAATTGGGATGCCACCTGTGCGGGTACATTTTCGGACGGTAATTTGATCAGTTCCTCAGTTGAGCCAGGATCCGTCGCCCGGGACGCAGAGATGAAAAAAATAGTTAAATATTTTTCTCTTGCTGATAGATTTTTTTTTACTCCTGTGGCAGTGGAGACTTCAGGGGTTATTGACCCTCGTTCGATGGCGTTCCTTCGGAGGATTGAGGCGTCTCGATTAAGGGACAAGCCTCGCGAAACAGAGTGGCTCTTGCAGCGTGTCTCACTGGCCATGGTTCAAGGTAATGCTTTCTCCATCAGCAGCTGGCAGAGGAAAGAAAAAAATTACGTTATATTTACGTTGTTCTGGAATTGTCATCAGTGGTCAACTGAACTTGTTTTGTTTCAATAAATTTATTCATTGTTAAAAAAAATAGTTAAATTATGGAGGATGACGTAATTTAATGTCTAATAAAAACAAGAATATTTGTTGAATATTTTATGTAATTAATATTTAATTTAATTTAGTATGTGATAAATTTATGTAGTATATATTTTAAATAACAGGAGGTTGTTAATTTTGCCGTTTTCTTTCAATTTTTAATATTTTTATAGTCATGTATGTTGGCTTGGGATAAAGGTAATTCTTTCAGAAAAAAAAATCCCAGTAGTAGATTTATATTTTGATGAAATTAGATAGCGACACTCCTGAGTTTCACCAGTGTAGTGTAAGGAGCAGGTGTGACAGCTTATTTTATACATACGTATTTCAGAATTATTATTGTTATCGGTATTTTTGGTT